CATGCATTATTTTCCCGAGGGTTTCGTAATAGTTGATGATAGCGCTGCAAGTGTCGTCCTCACCAAACACGTGTTTTTAGAGCAAAGCTGCATAAGCGCTGCGAGTGTTGGTACTGAATTTATCCTAATTCACGAGTTTCAGTTTCGGGTACTAGATTAAACAAAAAAAATGGCAACGCGCGCCAGACTAGCCGGTGAGATCATGTGTTTTGTGTAATTCAGCCCATCGAACGATTGCCTATTAATGATTTTCACTGCTTTGTACTTTAGTCTTTGCAAAAATAGTTCAAACATTGGAAGACAGTTAAAAATTTCACGCACCAGCGTATGAAAGCTGAATTCGAAACCTTGAAGGATGATTTCCGTGATTCCCGAATTAATAGTTTACCCGCCAAAATTTTCAAGAGGCAGTAAGTGGTACCCGAGAGCGCGAGAACACTGAATTTGAATAGGAAAGGTTGAGCGTGGGCGGAGGTCATTACCCTAAAACTTCAGCCTTCTAGACTCCGTGGTTCCGAGCATGGGCAGTGGGTCATTACCCTAAAATTTCAGCCTCCTAGACTCCGTGGTTCCCGAGATACTTTACTTACACGTAAAACTTTCACAGGGCCGTACGCGTTACCCGCGGGTACGGGGAAGCTGAATTTAAATTTGCGGGGTCATACGTGGGTGAAGAACGTTCCCCTAAATTTTCAGCTTCCTAGCTTTTGTGGTTCCTGAGTTGAAAGTTGCGGACAAGTTGCTGTGGACACACACACACACAAACACACACACACAAGCACACAAACTCACACACAGACAACCCCGTGACAATATGCGTTTTGTACTGTTGTTACACAGCACCAAACACATAAAAATTGGTGATTTTTTTAGTTTTTGACTTCTGATTAAAAATTTTACATTGAGTTGCAACTGAAAAGTTCGCTTTCTGTTTTCATTTGTGCCTTCTCTTTATATCAATAAATGCTGCTAGATTTGCGTGATTTTCACTCTCTTTGCGTGTACACGGTATGCACATGACTTTACTCATGCCTACTTTCATCTGCTAATCTAAAAAGCGAATGAATTTAATGTGTTAGTGATGAGAAATGTGCATGACTTAGGGGACCAAAGCATTCCTTTTCAGTAATTACCTTTCTTTCATTGTTTAGATTATTCCACTACAATTTATTTTGTGATCCACTGACTAATTTTACTTGACAAAGTAATTCTTCGTTGATTTTTATTTTTATATTTGTCAAAATTTCTATTTTATCGTTTAACACCCTCGGACTCTTCGTTTCTTTTTATTATTATCATTACAAAACATTGATATATTCTTTTAATGGCACTTTCGCACTGAGGTTTTTCAGCCGTCCTTTTTTTGCGATTAGCTGCTCCGTTCAAGCTTTATATACGCCGCCGTTTAATTCAATTTTGCATTGACTTTTCAAATTCGGTTCCGTAATTCGTTGTTACGACTATTTCTAGCACAAATCTATACTTGGATTTGAAGATATAGATTTTTCTTTTGAGGCATTAAGGACTAGCTTGCACATAAAATCCGAAAATTTTAAATTTATATTCGGTGCTATGCTATTACAAAAGTTCAGGCCTAAAACCATGAAACCGAAAAAGAGATTTCAGAATTTATGTTAGCAAATGAAATCTCCAAATAGTGCCTGATTCTTTCATTTCCCATTCATCATATTAGCTGGGGTTGCAAAGTGCGACACAGAGATATTTGAAACGGTTCTTACTGGTTTATAATCCTACGCAAGCCTCAGGCCGACGTTGGCCAAGAAGAACATGGTGGTGCCGATACATGCGTTCTACAGCGCGTCCATTGGCTCCTTTGTCAGTTTCGCCCAGTCTTTTTTTTTGAAAAAACTATGGTAGCATTTCTACTGAAAAGCTGCTTTAATTAAAGGAAAAATACGACGATGAGAAAATTGAGCGGGAAATTGAGGAATTGTTCAAAAAACGAGATGCACCACTGCCAATGCCACAGCTTGTGCTGGAAACCGCCGACGCTGGTGCAGAGGATGAAGAAGATGAAGGTAAGAAAGAGTCCATTCCACAATAATACTTTTTGCGTATTTAAATGTTTTTTGCTACAGCGGTAACGCAGCCGAAAAGTCAAAAAGATTGCTCTAGAAAGATTCAAAGAGGCTGAAGCAACACAAAATTGTTTTTGTAAAACATTCTTTTCTTAAAAGTTGAAAACCACTATGCCCAGAACACGCATTGATGGGAAATCCTCACGTCCAGAACCGCCCGTCTACAAGTGGTACTTTAGAAATGAGGGTCCAACCCAACCCTCATTTCTAAAGCACCACTTGCAGACAGGCGGTTCTGGCCGTGCTTTTTGCAGTCTCTGCTACGTTTTCTTTTTCCGGCATGTAACGAATTTCATTCATTATCCTGATTCTAAAGAGTTTCATAAATGAAAAACGATCTGCAGACAAGAAAAACGCAAAGAAGAAACCGAAGAAATCCCCGAAGCCTGAAGCACCGGAGAAGACACCAGAGCCTGTGGCTCCAGTTGTGCTCGCAGGTGGGGCGAGTGCAGTGGGTGTATCAGATGTGATAAAGGAGCGGTTCGAGGAAATTGCAAAAGCTGTGGAATCGCTGAAAGAGCACTTGCGAATGTCAGAGGAAAAAATGCAAAAACTGACCGAAGACTTATCGTATATTCGAATGCTCATCACTATACTGCTCGTTCTTGTACCCATCACAAGCCTGCTTTTCCGTCATTAACTCTTTCACTGGTCATCGGAAAAAATAAACATTAAAACTGGACACTCATAGCATGTAAAGTCTCGTAACTCAAAGATTGTTAAGAAGAAGCTGATGAGACAGATTTAACTTTTTGGCATATGCCCTATCAATTTACTAAACGAATGGACAAATCGTCAGGAAATTGTTTGCTCTAATGGGTGGTATTAGCGAAAAAAATAGGCGACCACTCGCATGTCCTTGGAAGGTGGCGCACTTATCAAACAAGCGGTGGATGCTAACCAGAGGTATGTAGAATCGAGGACCTGATTTAGTAAGCTTGGCGTGTGAAAATGTCCCATAACATTACTATCTGAGATCCCGAGACTGATCTTTTAGACTGTCTTGGTTTGAGCGAGGAAGTGAACGACCACTCAGGCGTGCTCCGAAGAGGAGGCGCACGCGGCCTGAGTAATCCAAGGTGTATTGGGTCGAAGGATATTGTGCTCACCTAACGACTGTAAAGGTTATGTAGCCTTTACAGTCGGCTATGGTAGCCTTTGAGGACATTAAGTAAGCGCAACATTTTATCACAATATCGTTTGTTTTCTCATACCATGTACGGACTGCAGGTGTAGATAAATGGTGGGAAAGCCTGCACACTTTTTCGGCATTAATTCATCAAAATCGAAAGCCATTCATGGCTTTGCTGATATTCCTTATGTTTCTAGTTTAGTGGTTCTAAGCATTCTAAGCGCCCTTTTTATGCGTTTTTTGCAGCTG